TGGCTGTATGCTATGCAGTATAAGAATCCTGGCCCTGAATCCCTGCTTGCATATTGTATTAATGAAATGGGGGACAAAAGATGCAAGAGATCAGCAGGCATTATTGTAGCAGAAAGCAGACTAATCAGACACTTGATATGCAGTGTGATGATATGGATTGTGTAGTTTGACGATTTGGTTAGAGTTGAAAGATGTTTTGGAAGTAATTCACTTCATCCTTTTAGGGCCCGAACTTCTGGCTGTAGAAAGCGAAATGAAACAGCCTCAAAGATAATTATTCTAGTATACTTATAGGATATTTATAGTTCTGTTTTCTTGCTGCATAATACTAGTATTTTTTTTTTCAATTAGGTTGCCTACAATTTAAACTAGAGCAAATCAAACCACCTCTATTTCTCTGCCATTTTGCTCGCAACAGTTTGAGTCCTACTTAAGAAGCAATTAGGTTTTCCCCTTTCTGTTTATTTTAACCTTATTCCTTGTTTTATTTGCTAAGAAGTCCATCCACAAAGCGTGTTCCATTAATTTGCAAAGAATTGGGCTAACAGTGATGCGAGTCCCAACTTCATTCCTTTAGTTGTACAAAGAAGACTGCAGTCTAGAATACGAGAAGTTGTAGATAATGGAATTTTAATTCTAAATCTACCTGATGTCGATGATTGCATAAATCAGATGAACAAAGTCCCAGCTTCCTCAACTTCATTCCTTAATGCCCACTTCTCTTCTTTTTTTTTTTTTTTTTTTTTGGTTTTTCTTTCCTAATTCGTATCTCCTAGCTACCCTTTACATTCGTTTGAGACTAAAAGTAAATACTTAATTCCACCAATTACGTACAAGAATAAGTTAATGTCATTAGCCAAACAGAGGTCACATCTCTTCTTTGTAGTTACATTATTTGGTAGTAAGAATAGAGCATCAGTTGGATCTATAACCTCTACGTAAATCCAAACTTGATGATCACATCATAATCCGATTGGTTTTGCCAACTTTCCTTACTGTAGTATGAATTGTTGGTTTTTAAACACAGCCCTCAACCTAATAAATCAGGGAGGAGTCTACTGGTTCTCACCAGAAATTTGCCGGTCAAACTATTCCGACTGCTTAAGCCTTAAAAGTCACCTGCCTGCTGCTCCATGCCACATCCACACATCACTGTCCAAGTAGCCTCGCAGCTTATTTTGGTACATACCTAACGGTTCCCTAACTTCCATCCTCTAAAAAAAACTCTCTTTAATTGGATATATAAATTAATCAACAGTTAACAGGCAGACATGTAGAATGCATGATCCTTTTCACTCCCGAAAGTCTGTCTAATTTGAAAGAAACTTCATTAAACAGATCAAATGTATGATCTGAACTTTCCAAGTTTTATGGACTAGAGTTTTGCGCAGTAGAACCAATGGCAATGCACAAAACTGATGGACTTCGAGAATATTATTAACTGTTTTAATTATTGTAGGTCCTAAGATGCCCACAAAATCAAATTCTAGTTTCCATAAGATATCCATGACAGTCTTAGAAATGTATCAATATGTTCATGCTTTTAACCGTATTATTGAAATTTAGAAAACCATGACTTGCTCGAAGTAATTGTTTAAAGTTTGCTTTACGCGTAATACATGCCACTGGCCCATGAATCCATGTGTTTTCATTAAATATTTCATTCATCTTGCACAAGTTCATGTTTCTATATTCTAAAAGAATTTTTTTAAACAAAAAAAAAAGAACATAGAATTATAAAATGTATTGTCAAATGTAAGAGATGTAAATTCAAAACTTAATTTAATTAATTCACACAATTATTCTAAAAAGATGACTTTCATTGAATCAATAGTTCAAACTCAAGCAATTTCCCTTTTTCTTTGGGTGGATTCAGATCCCAAAATGTGGTATGATACTTATTTCATGCAAATTAGCTTTTAGAGATAATATTTGAATGGTCGTCAGATCAATGAAAAGACCTCTTGGAAATGCAAATTAGATTTGTCAAAATATTAAATCTTTGACTTGCTTCTTCGACATCAAGTGTTTAAGGGGGTCAATCTTTAAACTATTTGCAGAAATTAGATTGATAAAAGTTTTTTGCGTTCTTTCCCCATCCATGTATAGTCTGCGAATGGCCATCTAGGTCACTAAATATATTTAACAATTGAGTATTGCAATTAGGAGATATTAACTTAATCCTTCTTTTCTTTCTTATGTGAATTTAAGAATGAAAATAAGGGCTTAATGTGTTTGACTTGTGCAAGAAATTAATGACAAGTACATAGCTTTTGATGAAAAAAAAAATACAATTATATAGCTGATAATTGCATAATCAAGGGCACATTACTAATTAATTACAAATCATATGATTTTTTTGTTAAAAAATTATAATTATTGAGATTTAAATTTTAAATCTGTTGAATATATCACATCTTAAAAGTAATTATATAAACCAAAGTAAAATTTCAAGTTCATGTGATTATTTTTTTGACAATTCAAATACAATCAATTCAGTTTATCATCTGGACCAAGCTATAATGTAATTAAGCCTATACAATTTTCTTGTCCTTGTTCACCAAATTTTAATTAGGATCCAAAGCTTAATTTCTTATAAATTTGTGATCAATTCTATATATGTTTCTATTGAAAAGACTTCAATTTTACCATTTTAATTTTGTTTACACGTGATAAGTTTTATGACTAATAAAAAGAAAAGATAATGAGTTCATAAAATCATAATATTAATAATTTTTTGCAAGAAGGGATAACTTTTTTTTTTTTTGAAAGGTAAGAGATTTAATTCTAAATTTAGAAAGTACTTCATCCTTTAAATATATGGAAGCCAAATGACAGTAAACACTAAGTCACATGGATGGTAACACAAGATTACAAAGAAAATAAATTTGTTTTGGCTATGGGCACAAAAGTTTAAGAAAAGAGAATATATATCCATCTTCAATTTGCTTAAATAAATAGGTCTATTTATCTAAAAATAAAATTTTCATTTATTATTATTATGAATATATAATAATAATAATAATAATAATAATAATAATAATAATAATAATAATAATAAAAGAAATACAAGATAGTCGGTTATCCCTTATCCATAGAAATTTGCAAAGTTATTGTCTTCCTAAAATGTCAAAGTGTTATGATTAAAAAAAAAAAAACCACACCATCTTGTCATTCACCACACACCTCCGAAGCCCATCCCCTTTTTTTTCCCACCTCAAAGGCATGAAAAATGAGGGGAAGGCAAACTGTGCTGATCATATCTCAGTGGTGTATACCTCATTCTTTCTCATCTTTCCAAGCTTCAAGCCTAGAATTCATGACAGAAAATCCTTCATTCCCCTTGCGTTATTAAAGTCCCAGCGCCCACTCATCACTTTATTCCCTTTTTTTTTTTCTAAAATACTGAAAAGCTAATGAACTATTTCATTTTTTAAATAAATTCTTATATATATTTTTATTATACTCAAATAAACACTTATTTTTTAATTTCTATGTAAGTAAATCGTTATTTTTAAACAAGAAAATTGATTTATTTTAAGTGTGTTTGGTATGTATGTATTAAAAGTTAAAGATTTATTTGAACACAAACTAAAAGTTAAAAATTTATATGATGCAAATTAAAAGTCAAACGATTATTTAAATGTAATAAAAGTATAAAAAAATTATCTAAAAATTTTACTGAAGGTTAGATGTTTTTATTATTTTAATCTTTTCTTTTGTTTACCTCCTAAGAGTCTTAACTTGACCTTTTTTCTCTTTGTTTCAATGTCTATATATATATAGTCAATTTATATAATGTAATTTTTTTTAATTTTACATATTTTTTTAGTCATTAATTTAATAAAACCAAAAAATAAGATTAAATCAATTTTTTTTTTTTATTTTTACCTATCTCTCCCTTCCTTGGATCTTATTATATTCAAATATTAAAAAAATGTGTAAAACTAAAAAAAGAATTATGTGGAATTCATCAAATTTTTATATGAAACTCACCTTTTATAGTAAAAAGAATCATAAGAAATATGTTCCTAAAAAAGTTACACTATATAAATTTATCCTTCTTCTCTCTACATATAATAAATATTTCTTAATAATTTTTTATTTTGTTGCTATATCCATTATTAAGATTTGTGAGTCCTTATCTAAGCATGAGAGTTAGTTAATTCCAAATTACAAAAATAATAGATTAAACCTCATAAAGGTAATATTTGGTATAGGATGATCACTCAAAACATTATGATCATTTATATTTAGTGATTAGATCATCATATTTGGTAATTACTTAATGATCTTACGAGACAATAGTCTTAAATCATCGAGAGTAATTAAATCATTATTTTAGAGAGTGATCTAATTACCATTTAAAGAGGTGAAAAATTTTTGTTATCGGAATAAAGTAATATGTAAAATTAATAATAATCAATAATAAAAATCTATTTTATTTGTGAATTAAAAACTCGAGTTTTCTTAAAATTAACTATATTATTTTATATTATAATTTTTATATTTTCAAACTAATATTCATTATAATAAGTTCAAAAATATTTTGTGTGATTTTTTTATTTTTTTAAAATTTATTTATAATATAATATCCTGATTTTAATATATTAGTTTTATTTTTTAATTCAAATATATTTTACATAATTTGTAATATAAAACTAATTTATTATCAAAAATATTTTTTTAATTTAATAATATTTATTATGAAGTAAATAAAATATTACTAATATTTTATATACAAATTATTATCTTTAAATAACATTAAAATTATTAAATAATATGTATGCTTATTTTGGTATTTTCAAATAAAATTATGTTTGATAAGTAAAATAAATTTATTGTAGATTACGAGTGACAATATCATCTTAAAAATATAATTATCTTAATAATTAAATTATCATGATAATTTTAAAAGTAATATCCAACGCTACCAAAAGGTAATTTAAAAGGAATTAATTCTATATTGGAAAGAGTGAGATGAATCCTGTGGCATATGATGCATAAAATCCTAAGGATCGGACGGCTATAATGTAGCACCACACAATGAATAATGGACAGCGACACCCGTGAGAAAAGCCGGTGCATCTTTCATTTATGATCGCCACCCTCTTTTTTTTCTCCTCTATAAATTAATATTACTGCCTTACTAGTATTTTCATTTCTTTATCAAATTTTATAGTCCTTAAATTCCTAATATATATATATACACCAAATTTATTTGGCATATCCTAACACCTATATACCAAATTTATCACCCTCTTCGATCTCCCACCCACCTCCCTCTTTTCTTTTTCTGGAAAGAGAACTAGCTGGAGAAACAAGAACAAATTAAGAAGGGGTGGTCAATTAGGAAGAAACAGTAATGGAAGGTATTTCTGCAACCATGTATAAGGGTTTGAGAAGGTACTGGAAGAGGAAAGGCTACGTGAAGCTAAACGGTTCGAGACGGGCACGGCGGGGCACGGTGGAGCTTGGTTCCACCCAGAGGAGGAGGTTCTGGAGGATCAGGGTCAAGGCAAAGCTGAGAATACCTTCACCCAAGAAGTTCCTTGTTTGGTTACGTGATGCCTACGTGAAAATGATGTTGGGGTTAGCCAACTCCAGGATGATTAATACTGGCTACGGAGGAGCCATAGGTTATGGTGGGATCGCGGCCTTCGGGAAGCGTCCGCTGAAAGAGTATGACGAGAAAATTATCGTTGAGATCTATAAATCCTTGGTGATGGCGCAAGGCCAGCTGGTGCCACGTGAGGCTGGGAAGCTGAGCTCTGCAATTATTTGTCAACGGTGAAACAAAGAAAAAGTAAGAACAGAGTAATTGATTTCATGCCTCCTGTTATTTTCGTCGCAAACTTGTGGTGAAAGGAGCTAGAGCATGGAAATTAGAGAAGGATCAATTGCCAAAGAAAAAAGAATCTACTTTTTTGCACTTCAAAGTGGTTTTAATGTTGTTCTTATCTTGTGATTAAAACTACCGGTAAAGTGTTCAGTTTGGCAAATAAGCTGTTAAATTCACCTGCCTAATTGTTTGGGACCAAAAGAGGTTCTAATTAATAGGGGGTGTTAGGTTTTTTTTTTTTTTTTACATCATAATTTAGAGTGAGAGGATGCTTTTTCACTCTAAGATCAGAACAAATTGTACGTCTCCAAAAAATTTATACTAAATTTATGAATAATTTAAAAATATTATTAATAGTGAAATTCAAATTTAGAACTCACAAGCATAATTAAGTTCTAGCGTATTAGATCTAGTTGGGCTACTATTTCTTCCTCCACCAAAGATTAATTTGGATGCAATCGCACCCCTTTTGGACATGATTGGATCACATTTTTTATCCATTCCCACCGACGGGACGTTTGGATCCAATCTGTGGTACGGGTTTGCTCATTCCAATAGTACTCAACGGATTTTTTTTATTATAGGGCATTCAATTTTCATTGCGCTACGAGGGCATTTAGTTACAAGGTCATTAATATTTAAAAAATATATTATTTTAAATATTTTGATTTTATAAATATATTTATAAATATATAAAAACTTCTATATAATAATATTATTAATAATCTATAAAATAATATTTTAAAAATCAAATAAATAAATTTAAAAATATAAAAATATTATTATTAATTTATCATGATATTTTTAAATATTTAATCTAGTCATATGATATTCAAATAAATTTTTCATGTAAATATTAAAAGCATGAAAAAAATAACTTTGATTTCATTATTGTTAAACTTTAGGAAAAAAAACACAATTACTCTTTTAAAATAAATTGAGATATTTATGGTCTTTGGTTTTAAAAAAATATAAAAGAAAACAAATTATAATAAAAATAAATAAATTCAACTTTTAAAGAATTATTTTATCAATTAGTTTTGTTTTTATTAGATTAAAAATAATCAAACAATAAAAGATAAATTAAAAAATATAAAATATATTTTCATATTTTCGTATTGATTAAAACAAATTAATCTATCAAAATTCATTAAAATCAGTCGAAATTAACAAAAAATAACTAATATTACTTAATATCAAATCTAATATGAAAAATTATTTTTAAATATATTATATTTTGATATAATAGAAATGTATCAATCAATACCATCAATATCGAAATAAAATTAATAATATTGTTTAGTTGTCCTTAATTTCGTTTAATTTTACTGTTGATTTAAATGAATTCTAAATATTCTTTGATTAAGGTGGATATTATGGATAGTGGCCATCAAATCCGATAATAACTTTCTTTTTTTTTTCTATAATATCAACTTAAATTGTAGATTTTAAATTTGTAATCAAGATTCATTGATTCAGAGAATAGGAAAAACAATTAATTATCTAAATTTCGCCATCAAGAACAAATAATAAGATTAATTATTGGGAAAAAATTTTATAGAGATGGGGTAGGGCAAAAATTTTTTTTTTTTTTTTGTTTTATATGACTGAACAGTCTCCCCTAGCTAAAATATTTAAAGTTTGGTGGGGCTTTGGAAGTAGCACCGGCAAGTAATAATAAAAAGCACTGCCCATTGGGAGCAAGCTCATTCAAGACCCTTGTGGGTGGGGCTTAATTTGATGCACCTTTGTCTTGGTGGTGGTTGTTGTGAGATCTGAGCCATCTTAATTAAGATGGGAATTCCTGTTTTTTGTGCATTGACAGATATCAATATTTGCTTAATGTTTTCATCAATTTATCGATGAACGAGCCCTCGAAATCCTTAGCAATGTTTTAAGGATTATTTGGTTCAATGGTAAGATTAATTTTGATAAAATTAAAAATAATAATAAAAATAAAATTAATTATTATAATAATAAAATCAAAATTAATAAAAAAAAATATTTAAATGTAAATATAATAATAAAAATAAGATTAATTGTAATGATAAAAGTAAATGATTATTAAAGATATTAAATAAAATTTGTGTGTAGTAAAAATTTTAAATTATTTATTATTTATTAAGTTAATAAATAATTAAAAATTAAGAAAACTATTTTATGTTAAATAATTATTTTGTTAAAAAGTTTTGATAATAATATATTTACACAAATGAAAACTTAACAAAGTAATATTTAATAAATTTTTTTGTATTTATCTATATAATAGTTTTTATATTAAAATTATAATTATTTCTTAAAAGATAATAATACAAATAGAGTATTATGGTTTAGAAACTAAAAGGAAAAAACGAAAAAGGGGTGCAGAGGAATACCGGACTTTTTTTTTCTAGTGCAAAATTATTGTTCCAGTGCAATTGGCTTGTGTAGTGCAGGCTATCCAAATGGGTCGTAATGATGCAGTTGCGCAAAAAAAAAAAAAGAAAGTTTGAATCTCATCGTAGCCTTGACAAAGAGAAACTAATAAAATTTTTTAAATTGTCATATTTAAATTTTGTTCATTAAAATTCAATTTTTTTATTTTAAATTATTTTTCATGTATTGATTTTTATGAAATTAAAAAGAAGTTTTGATTTTAATATATTTAATATTAAAATTTAAATTTTTTTATAAAATTAAAGCTTCATAATTTTAAATGTCAAAAAATAAAAAAATACTTTCTTTTATATTTAATATTAAAATTAAAAAAATTTAGATGTTAAAAAAGAATAGGACATAATTTTAGAACATTAAAAAATGAACAAATAAAATGGAATAGGAGAAGTAATATTTTTATTAAAAATTTAACACTTTATTAATAAAAACAATTAAAATATCACAATCTTTGCAATAACATAAAATTATAACAACTTTATTTTTTAAATATAAGATATAATTAACTATGTGTTTTATAAAAACTAATTAAAATTAATTAAATTTTAATATTAAAAACATATCATTCACATGTTGTCTTGAATCAATCATATTATCGTTAATGACAGATCATACCAATCCTATCAATTATATTTGTCCAATACAAAATATTACAACCAAAATATCGCTTATGTCAGAGTATGCAATTAGAAGAATGTGGTATGATATATTATTGCCTCAACGTCTCAACTATTGTTTGTAGATATCGATTTTGTCCAGGTCTATTGTTTTATTTTAATAATAATAATATTTAACAAAACAAACAAAAAAATAAAAAACAAACAAAAATAACAAAAGAAAATAAGACAAAAGTCAATGAGTTGGTACGGCGTCGAACTGGTCCGACCAACTACCCGACCAGCCTCCCAACCAGCCTCTCGACCAGTCACCCTACAGCCACCAACCAACTACTCTACAGCCACCTAGATTCCCCTAAATCAAAACCCTTTAAAATCCCCAACCATCTTCCTCACAAAAGGTCTCTGGGCTCTCTAACAAAAAAAAGGAAGTTCTCTCGAAATCTCGTTCAATCTCCCTCTAGGAATTCCCTTCAATCTCCCTCAGAAAATCCCCTTCAACCTCTGCGAAACCTCCCTCAAAACACTCCCAAACACCCAAAATACCCAAACAGAAACCACACCAACCGAAAAAAAAAAATAAGAATAAAAACAGAAACGAAAAAACAAACACAGTCCTCCCCGCAGGGAGGAACCTCAGCGCCAAGCTCCCTGCAAAAGTAAAGAAATCATTAGTTTTGCCAAAAAAAAAAAAGGGAGAAGGAAAAGAAACCGAAAGCTTCAAGCCCCGATCTACGTCGATCGGGGGTGTTTCTGGTAAAACCGACTTCGGATTTGGAAAGATCCCATCGAAAGCAGCTTCCTGATCATTTTTTGAAATTTTCGGTCACCGGCGACAACCGTCGACGACGACCCAGAAGGCGGCCGGTGCAATGGTCCGACGACCGAACGGCGATCGGTCGGACCCCTCCCCCAGGGCCCTCTCTCTCTCTCATTTTTTTTTCTGGAAACAAAACCAAATGAACAAAAAAAAAATTTCAGGTTATTTATAGAAAACATTAAAAGCAAAATGACGTCGTTTTGGGCATAGGGCCAAAACGATGCCGTTTCAACCAGGGAGGATCCGCGTAATGACCCGCTAACCCGTTTCCTCCAACAGCTCTACCAGTTCAATCAAATCGGCCTGAACCGTCGATCCGACCATCGAACCGGTTGGATCGCCCGAACCGCAGATCCAATCACCGAACCGATCAGACTGCTCGGACCAGCGTTGATCGAACCGTTGACCGGTCCGATTCAGGTAAAATTTTTTTTTTTTTTTATATTATTATTGTTATTATTTTAAGTATATTTTTATGTTTATGCATGATAAATTTATGAATTTATTAGAATAAATGTTTAATTGTTTTAATAATAATAAAATTGAAAACAAATAATAATTAAAAATATATTAAAAATGTTTAAAAAATATTTATTATTATTTTTCCTGCCTAGATGTTGGAGGGAATAAAAATATTTTTTTTAAAAAAATAATTCCGCCTAGATGTTGGGGAATTATTATTAATAAATTTTCATAAAAAAAATATATAAAATTTTTAACTAGTTTTCAAAAATTATAAAAAAAATTAAACTTGCTCTGAAAGTTCGTCTAGATGATGAAGATTTTTAGAGACGTTCGTGTTTTAATTAAACCCCAAACCCTAAACTTAAACCCTAAAATTTTACCTTAAATTTATTTCAAAACTTTAAGGACACGTGTGAAAGTCTCGCATGAGATGGTTTGTTTCCGAATGCTGCCTAAATGATGGGGTACTTAGGAAACTCCATTTCATTAAGTTTTTCACACTGAGTTCTTAATTCACATTAATAATAAGGTTAATAAATAAAAAGTATAATAAAAATCGGGATCTTAAATATAAACAGTCGCACCTAAGCTCTGCCTAGATATTAGAGAGTTGGGGTGGTCTCATTATACTTAAGAACCCAACTCTTAATTGTATTTTACATGACATTTATTAGCATACATACGTTAGCATGTTATCATCGATAATTGATTGCATTATTCTCTCTTTAATTTACTGTTCAATGATAAAATATTTTATAATAAAAAAAGAATAATACTTAAGAAAAAAAATCATTTTTGATATTAATAAATAAAACAAAAAATAACATTCCGAGAGAAATAATTCTTGGTACTCTGCCTATATGTTGGAGAGTCACCAATAATTTTTTATAAAGAGTATTATTTCATTTTAAGGATTGTTGTGTTAAATCTTAAGCGAAAAATGTCATTTCAAATTCTGCCTAGATGTTGAAGAATTTCAAGATAATTCTTTAACTTAAAGATTTTTTCAATACTCCTAAATAAAAATTTTAGCAAAAATATTTTT